TGTCAGTTAGTTTATCAATGTGTTAGTTGGGAGAATAGGACTGATATACTTTGGCTCCATTGACATTGACATCTTGTGGGGGAACAGGAAGCAGGATGCAGGTGACATGACTCTCCCTCTCTCTCTGTGCTCTGCAGGCAGAAGGCTCTGGTGTCGACAGGAGGCAGGAGTGTCCAGGCTGCCTGTGACTGGTGAGTATCTTCTGCCCCACACATCCAACCATACTGACATCCCTGAAAGTGATGAGACAGGGACTGATGAAGATGCTGAGGCAGAAGGCTGAAAGCTAATGGCAATCAAGAGATTTTAATATAGCAGTGCTCTGTACAGTGGGTATTGATGTCCACAGCAGGACACCCCTGTCCCCTGATCGAGACAGTTTGTACACTGCAGTACGCTGCCTTTGTGTGGACATACTCAGAACACAGCAGTCAGAACACAAGTTACCAGATAATCTTGTGTAGAAACCTTCACGATATCACCTTTAGTCATCAGTTGTTCTTCTCTTTTTTTGTGCTGTTAACAAGTGCACAAGTTCCCGGCTACCATGAAAAACGCGAAGTCACCTTGTGTACGGTACAGGCCAGAATGTCAGAGTCTCGGTTTCGCAGCTGCGCAGCAGTGTGCTGGTCTGACTGCGCTGTGTGCTCCCAGGCTGTTCTCCCATGTCGACGATCCCTTCCTGGACGACCCCCTGCCCCGGGAGTATGTGCTGTACCTGCGCCCCAGTGGTCCCCTGCTGCACCAGCTCTCCCACTTCTGGCAGCAGTCCCGGCTCACCTGCGGCAAGAACAAGGCCCACAACATCTTCCCCCACATCACGCTGTGCCAGTTCTTCATGGTGAGACACCCCAGCACAGAGCCACCAACACAGCAAAACATGGGTCTTTATACAGCACCAGGCCTCCACGGCCTGCACACAGTGGATCTGGATTCACAGGCTGTGGCCATCCAGTTCAAGCATTAGTAACCGGAGCTGTCTAGTGTCAGAGCGGAATCGTTATTTGAGCGTGAGGGCTTCCTTCCTCTAACCCGGTAAGCGGGGTGAAGACACCAGAATATCTTGCTTCTCTAAATCCGTGCTGATTCTGCTGAAAAGTGGAAGCCGAGTGTCTGTTTTTAATCCTGTGCATCTGCCCACAGAGGCAGCAGCGGGGCGGTGGGAGTGGGCGTGTTGGGTGCCGGGTGGCGCAGTCTGACTTGGCGTGCTGTGTTGCAGTGTGCAGACAGCAAGGTGGAGGCCCTGTGTGAGGCGCTGCAGTCCACGGTGTGTCAGTGGAGAGGCCGCTTCCCCTGCCCCCTGCCCCTGGAGCTCTACACCTCCTCCAACTTCATCGGCCTCTTCGTGGAGGAGCAGTGCGCCGAGGTGCTGAAGAAGTTTGCTGCAGATTTTGCCACTGAGGCTGCCAGCAAAGCAGGTGAGGGGGTGGGCGCAGTGGTGGAGAGGTGGTCCCGATGTTTTCAGGAGCGCTCCGCCCTACAAGGAGCATAACGCCCCTTAGTGAAAAGGGCCCACGTGCCCAGTCGATAGACTGGTTTCTTTCAAGAAAAGGGTGGACGAGGTCCTCAGACCGATCAACAACCGATCAGACGGGCCAGATGTGCACTCTTCTCTTGCGCCATCTCCAGGCCTGTGCTTCTGTTAGTTCTGTGCATCTGTGGGATGAGGGGTCATTCAAGTCAGAGTAACTCAGGCAAGGCAGACTCGGCTGTAGGTGGATGTTGTTCTTCCAAGCTCTGAAGTCAGGAAAGAAAGCGGCATTCAGCCTCGGTCGCCAAGGAAACTGACAACCTGTTCATTTTGGCAACATTGTGAATTTTAAGGAGGTGACCTTGCATTTGGTCATGAAAATGACTCTGCTGCTTAGTGAGGTCTGAGCCAAGTCAGGACTGAAGTTCTGCTCTGAAGGCTGGCTGTAAACAGGGCAGGAATGTGGTGTGGTGTGCTTCAGGCCAATGAATCTCTGTCTCTCTGGTTCTCTCGCCCTCTCTGTGTGGTCAGATGTCCGCGTGGAGCCCCATAAGAAGCAGCTGCATGTCACCCTGGCCTACCACTTCCAGACCGTCCACCTGCCTGCCCTTGAGAAGCTGTCCAAGGGCATCGACGTCTCCCTGGGCTGCGACTGGCTGGCCGTGCTGTTCTCCCGTGACATCCGCTTCGCCAATCACGAGGTGAGCCCCACTGACGCAGCGCCGCATGGCACGAGGGCAGCAGCGACCACACAGCGCTGAGCGCGTAGCACACAGACAAGAGTGAGGCAACAGAGTGAACTCGTCCAAGCTCGGCACCCGCCAGTGATCCCCCGTGCTCCTCCTCCCCTGATGGAGCCTCTGTGTTTTGTGTGAGTAAACATTAAGACTCATCTGCGTGTTACTCTGAAAGTGTTAGCTTCCGAGCAAACAAAACTTCCTGAGGCTGTCTTTCTGGCCGTCTGTTCGGGACATCACTGGTGTACTTGTGTTAAAGCTCCATTCATTACACAGTCGGGCTGCCAGGCTTTTATTCCATTTTCTGCAGATCTGCAGGCTGGTCTTCATGTTTAACACCATGAGTGTTGCGCATTTCATTTCTCTTCGCTGAGAACCTGAAGATAGGTCTTTGAGTCGTTTTGTACATTGGGAGGTGCAATGACTCTCTCTCTTTCTGGCGCCTCTAGACCTTGCGGGTGATGTACCCCTACGCCCCACAGAACGAGGACGAGCTGGAGCTGGTGCCTGGAGACTTCATCTTCATGTCCCCGGTGGAGCAGACCAGCACCAGTGAGGGCTGGGTGTACGGCACCTCCCTGAGCTCGGGGCTGTCCGGCCTGCTGCCCGAGAACTACATCATGAGGGCCGACGAGTGCGACACCTGGGTCTTCCACGGGTGAGCTGGCGCTGATGCTGACACACAAGCGCGTTCAGGCCCCCAGTGAGGGAGGTTCAAGCTGGGATCGTCCCACATTGGCCACACATGCTCACACGGATACATGCTTTTCACAGGGTGACACTGCTTTGTCCCCTCAGCTGTCTGTCTGAGCCCCTGCACTGCGCTTCCGGCAATAATCCCTTTCCCTGTTGGCCTCCTGCCAGCTGGGGACCGAGTGCGTTTCTCCCCTGGAGTCTGTGACAGGTCACAAATGTAAGAAACGTGTTTAATTCTGTCTCAATTTGTGTGGGTCCCAGTGTAGTGACGGGGACACTATACTGTGAAAAGACCTTAAAACTGAGGTCTTGACTCTCTCTAAAACCCCCAGGGCATTTCTCGAAAAGAGTGGGGGTGTAACCCCGGTGTCCTGGCCAAATTTCCCCCCTGGCCTTTCCCAATCATGGCCTCCTAATAATCTGTGAACTGGCCTCATCACTCTGCTCTCCTCTGAGTGATGGCTGAGAGCTGGTGTGTGGGGAGCAGACTGGAGCATCATCCAGGTGGGGCTGCACACTGGTGGTGGTGGAGGGGATCCCCATGACCTGTAAAGAGCTATGAGTGGAGTGTCCAGAATAGCGCTCTGTAAGTGTAAGGAATTATTATCATTGATTCTGTCTCTCTGTAGCCACCCTCTGCCTCCCCACAAACAGCGTGCCCCTACATCCATCACAGGCAGCCTATGGAGAGCACAGGGTGTGCTGTAGTGACTCTCCTCTGTCTGTGTGCGCAGATCCCACTCCTTCCTGAACTGCACCTCCCCCTCGGGCGCGGCCGGGGTGTGTGATGGGTTACTGGACGGCCGGATGCTGGAGGAGCCGGGTCCGGGAGAGCCCCCCACCCTCAGTGTAATCTGTCAGCCAATGCAGGTGTGTAGTGCAGAGCCATGCAGAATACAGCAGAGCATGGGACAGCAGTATTGAGCTGTCATGTAATACTGATGATCGCCACTAGAGGGCAGACTGCTAACCTTGTGAGAAAAGAAAAGGTTATCTTCAGTATGGGATATGAGCACAATTACTACTATTACTCCTGCTTGTGCTGTGCTCCTGCTCCAGGTCCTGAGGGTGAACAGCCAGTCCCGAATGCCCAAGCGCTGCCTGTTCGTCTGTCGCCATGGCGAGCGGGTGGACGTGGTGTTTGGGAAACACTGGCTCTCCCAGTGCTTCGACGCCAAAGGTGAGGGCCCAGTCTGAGCAGGACCACTGTTGCACTGGAGCCAGAACTCTCGCATAGAACCTCAGTCCGGTAGAGTGGTCCTGATAAATCTCTGAAATCCTCAAGACCAGACAGGAGCACCTTCAAATTTGTGCGGTGATTTTGCACTCCCACTCAGTTCTGTTCAGTTTGGGTTTATATATAGTGCCTCCTTCTGGCTACAAATTAACACCAGTGTACGGGCTAATCTAAACAAACGTCGGGTTAATAAAAATGAAAAAGCAATGTAATAAGAATGAAACACTGTGTAGCGTGTATTAAGGTAAACATACCAGGATGCACAGTCCTTTCTTTCTCTTGAGAGGGGCCTGAGCAGAACGGAGGACTCCTGCCTGACCTGCTGTGTTGTGTTGCTGTGTTGAGCAGGCAGATACGTGCGCATGAACCTGAACATGCCCTCCGGCCTGCCCGCCAGGATTGGGGGTTACAGGGACTACGACAAGGACGCTCCCATCACCGTGTTTGGAACCACACAGGCTCGGCTCGTGGGTAAGCGATGGTGCAGCTGAGCGCTGGGGCCTGTACCCTGTCCTGCACGGACTGCTGACCGCACCGGGGCTCTCCACTGAACACCGCGTGTGCTTTGGAGAACCCAGCTCCTGCCTGGACAAGTTCTCCCCTGGCCTTTCCCAGTCATGGCCTCCTAATAACCCCCGTCTCTGAACTGGCCTCATCACCCTGCTCTCCTCCCCACTGAGAGCTGGTGTGTGGGGAGCGGACTGGAGCATCACCCAGGTGGGGGTACACACTGGTGGGGGTGGAGGGGATCCCCATGACCTGTAAAGAGCTCTGAGTGGAGGGTCTAGAAAAGTGCTATATAAGTCTAAGTCTATTTTTGTTGTTATTATTTTTATTATTATGTATTCCTTACTCATTTTTACAGGCTTATAGCACATTTTGTTTTCACTTTGGGCAAAGGCTCTGTCACGCAGTCCTGATGCCACAACTATAACCTGTGCTTGAGGATGATGGGAGATTCTGGCCCAGGGCAGACATGACTGATATGAGAACCTGCCCACTCCATACTGGAGCTCTCTACAAGGCCAACATTTCCCTCTGGGGGTCTCGGTGCTTGCAGGAGTTGTGCGAGACGCTGCTGAGAATAGTTGTCTTTCCCTTGTGTGGCAGGAGAGGCGCTGCTGGAGAGCAACACGGTGATCGACTTTGTGTACTGCTCGCCCTCGCTGCGCTGCGTCCAGACTGCACACCACATCCTCAGAGGTACAGAGGCTGCTCTCCGGCGCCTCACTCCTACACGCCCCTAGAGCGCCGGCCCGCTGGTCCAGATCGCTGCGGGTGATTACTGTTAAGACCATTCTCTTGGTCTAACGTGACGCCTCTCTCTCACCCAGGGCTGCAGCAGGAGGGGAAAATGAAGATCCGTGTGGAGCCGGGCTTGTTCGAGTGGACCAAGTGGGTGTCGGGCACCTCGCTGCCCGCCTGGATACCTGCTGCTGACCTGGCTGCCGCCAGCCTCAGTGTGGACACAGCGTACAGGTGAGGGCTGCAGACTGGCCCCGCCACAGCGCCGCTCTGCTGGAAACATCCCGACAGACGGGAGTTCATCGAAGTTGGCAACTGCGCCTGTTCAGATAAAGACCTTCTCACCTGCCTTTCCCTCTGTCCCCAGACCTCATATTCCAATCAGCAAGCTGAGCGTTTCTGAATCGTATGACACTTACATCAGTCGCAGTTTCCAAGTGACTAAGGAAATCCTGTCCGACTGCAAGGGCAAAGGTAGGAGCTGCCATTCGTGTCCCTCCAGGGAGACAGTCCTGTCTATTTCCCGGTGTGCAGTAGACCAGGGCAAGGGAAGAGACCAGCCGAATAATTAGCAAATATCCTGGGCAAACAAATAATCCTCAGATTTCAAACAATTATTTAGACAAAACAAATCACAGAGATCTGAATCAGAGGGCTTTATAAGTGTGCCTTCTCTGAGTGACAAACAGCCGTGTGTGTCCTGTGACTGGTCTGTGTCTGTGACAGGTGAGCGCTCACTGTGCCCTCCGGTCTCCGCAGGTAACAACGTACTGATCGTGGCCCACGCTTCCTCCCTGGAGGCCTGCACTCGCCAGATCCAGGGCCTGAGTCCCCAGAACTCCAAGGACTTTGTACAGGTGGTGCGGAAGGTCAGTGTGCATCTTCCCTGATTGTCTGTCTTTACTGCCAGGGACTGTAGAGTGCTCACACAGCGCCACCCTGTGGCTACGAGCTGCAGCAGCACCGCCTCAGTGTCCAGGATGAGACTGAGGTGTGTCTCCTCCCTCCTGCCTTGCAGATCCCCTACCTGGGCTTCTGCGCCTGTGAGGAACAGGGGGACACGGGGGTGTGGCAGCTGGTTGACCCCCCCATCCTGCCCTTGACACATGGACCCAATCACAGCTTCAACTGGAGAGAGACCCTGCTGCAGGAGTGACCCAGAACCACGCACACGAGCTCTTCCCAGGCTCCTGCCACCTGCTGTCCACCTGTCTGTTCCAGTCTCCCAGTATTTGCCAAAACCTCAGTCAGGGCATGACATCCACTAAGGCTGTGTGGAAATGTATCCATATGTGTATGTATATACAGATATACTGTAGAGGGGAACACCTCTACAGCATGGCGATTCTGCAGTGTAGTCCAGTTATATATATACACATACAGTACACATAATCACTTCTGTACTTGTGGTAACTAAAGCAAAGGCTGGGTGAAGGTCCTTCACTTTCCATCTGCATGGAGAGCAGCACTGAAGCTAAGAGTTTATGGACCCATTCTGGGTTCTGGGCTGCAGCGCCAACTGCGGACACCCCTGGGTGAAGCCCATGTTAACGCCCCCACTGTCAGTGCTGCAGCCCTGCGAGGTGAAATCCAGTGGCTGTTAGTCTGAGTCTTTCACTGGGTGTCTCCTGTGGCTGTCGGCCAACAGGAGGGTCATCTCAGACTCGCAGCCAGACTCGCAGTCTTCACAGAAGCAACACAGGGCTTTGCGTGGGTAGATCTGGGGCTCGTTCCCATGCAACAGGCGTGAGCTTGCTGGTTGTTGTGGCCACCTGGTGTCAGGGCTGTCATTTGACCAGTGGAATGTCCTCTCTCAGGATGATTCCATGTCACCGTTCAGCAAATGGTTCAGCACTTACAGTCAGTTAGGATAAGGCACTGCAGCTGCAGTAATCTCACAGTGCATGCAACTCTGATTAATGATTTTGTTCCACGTACAACTGACTCCAGTCGTCTCCTGTGATGGATCAGTAGAAACATGAAATGCAAGGAGGAGGTACATAAATAATGAATCAACCTGATTGCACGCCCCTACCTGTATCCTACCTAAAACCGAATCAATTTATAAAGTTAAAAGCCTAACCTGAGTAGAAAGCAGCTGAGCCCTGAAAAGCACAAACTACAATCTGACTTGAGCTGACAAAGACAGATACCCAGAAAATTGCATTATTCTGTGCAGCAGCAGGACTTCCACTGCGGGCTGGTGACGTGTCCCTGGCTGACCGCATGTTGACCTGGTGACACCCAGTCCTACATCATTACACATGGCGTGAGGTCCAGTGAGCGCTGTCTGTGGGTGAGGCAGGTGACCATCTTGACCTGCAGCTGTAAACCACTGCTGGTCACATACAGTACAGTCAATAACCGTCAGCGTAGCCCGGTGCCCTGCTTACCTGGCCTGGCTTTTCATCATCGGACATTCAGAAAGGGTGCGATACGGACTGCCTCCTTTGCGATGGCTGTTTTCACTCCTGGTACCTGCTGATGGTCTCCGCCTTTCCCGGGGGTCACCTCCTGCCAGGGGTGCAAACATCTGCTTAATGTCAAAATGTGTAACCGATGCATTTCAGAGCGAGTGATTTAAATTGTTTAAAATATTTCAAAAGATATGATTATTTATTTAGCCTGTCTGCCCTGTCAGTGTGTCTTCAGGTCGTTAGCTTACTCGATGGCAAGGTGGGAGCTCCAAGCCTGCTGCTCCGCGCTCTGCCTGGTGCTTCTGCTTCCTCCAGGCTCAGAGGGCTCAGAGGGACCCGGCTGTGGCTCCCTACACTAGTTTATCCCCGGTCTGACCTCCGAGGCTGGATCATGCCCTGCTGTTCTCTGTGCACTGCAACAGTGTGTGTTGTCCTTGCAGGTTGTTCTGAAATGTGAAAAGGTCAACGTAGGGTGCCAAAATTCACCTTGCTTGCCATAGGTTTGCGGAAAACAAGCACAGTCCCCTTAGAGGGTTCTAAGTGGGACATGAAGTTTAAAGGTTTCTAATTTTACCGTGCCTTCACTGTGCTTCCCCATGCAGGAGCACACGTGTAGCGTGATGTACTGTAGTAAACATTGGATATCTGTTATGGAGCACGCAATCCCCAAGAGGCCACTGAGGTGTATGGAGCAGCTTGAACGTCTCTCACTGCTTCTTCAGGGAACGACGTGCTGGCAGATGAGACATGAGAATAACATGCCTCCTTCACACTAAGAGTCGCAAGGATCTGCGTCCAGCAAGGCAGGCTGCCCCACAGATGCTGATGCGCTGAGCTCCTTCCGGGAAGGTTCGGGGCGCTTCTGCGGTCTGCACGAGCGATGGGGCCAGCAGGCCTCCTCCTGTGACCTGCGTCCTGCTTGCAGGAGGTCAAACGTTAATACATGGGGTGTGACACAGCACGAGGGGAGATGTGGGCTGCGGTCGCTAACCAGTTTTCAAATAGGAAGATTGCACCGGCTGAACAACGAGGAAATGCTGAGCAGCCTGAACAGGATCCTGCCTCAGCACTGGAAAAAAGCTGCACAGCATTGGACTCTGCTCCAGAGCTGAGAGAGGAACCCCACTCCGAGTGACCGGCTGCCTTGTTGTAGCACTGTCTCGCCTCTGCTCTCCTTCCTCTTGGGCGTGCAAACCCAGCTTGGACTGTCTGTTCTTTCAAGAGTTTCTTCGAGACAGAGAGGCACCGCTCTTGCACTGGTGTGGTTTTCATCGTCTGTATCGGTCAATATCGGCATCCCGCATTCACGGCTGCGTGTGCCCTCTGTCCTGTCGTCCCCTTCGCCTCCTGGTTCCTGTCCTCTTGTCTGCAGAGCAGAAGCCTGGCTCCTCCTGCGGTCAGCCAGGCAGCTCCCCAGGCTCTGCAGCGCTTTGCATGTGTCCGGCCAGAAACGCGCCGCAGTGAACGAGCGAAACTAAAACCGTACGCAAAACACGAAGCTGATACAAGGCAAGTCTCTACTTGACAAAGTCCTCTTCTTTGAAAAAGAATTCATGCTTTATGTATTTAAATTATTGTCTTCATTTTTATGCAATTAAAAAGGTCAAAAATGTGTTTCTAAAGAATGTGTATACTATTTTGTTGCAAAAGATCAATTGCCTCAGTAATTATTATTATTATTATTATTATTATTATTATTAAAATTATTTACTGCTTCAGGAATATATAAATGATGTTTGCGAATAAATGTTTTATTGGCATGTGGTGTGTTGGTGTGTTGGTGTCTTGCCTGGCAGCCCTGTTAGGGACTGGGATTCATCTCTCTGCGCTCACCAGCTGGTCGGCCCCATTGCTGTTGGAGATGCCAGCTCCTGGTGCACAGCCTGTCCTCTCCCCTGCGCTGGCAGGGTGTGGCACTGCTAGGAGAGCAATTCCATTCATCTCTTTCACCATTCAGGAGAAGATAAAAGGCTCTTGTTGCCTGAGAATTTAACAGCTACAGGCTTGCGGGTGAATTTAGCAGAAGAACAACAACGCATTTTTTTTAATTCTGCGCCTGTGTGAATTTGCCAGGCGTAAAATGTTCCACACCCAGTGTCGGCCCTGACACAACCAAGACAGTCGTTCTCTGTTTTCAGCCTTAAACACAAGAAGTAAAATATACTGAAATCAGCTTCTGATTTCGTGATTCGCAGACCCAGTATCTTAGAGAATCTGATGACCGAGTCTGTTTGCTTTCAATTTCTGTGTATATGTGCCACGTCCTGGCCAGACATGCAGTCTGAGTATCAGGCCATCTGTCTGTACTCTTTCCTCTTTCTCTGCCTGTTTCTCGAGTAGCCCTTATGAACATTACTAAAATGTTACATAAGCTTAATGTTATTGAGCTTGTAAAGCAGAAGGATTTATTCATTTTTAACCATTGCTGAATATGAGCGTCATCATTAAGATGACAAAGACCTTCATGCTGCTGTAATTACAAATTCAGAACAAATGTCATTTAAACTGGTGCTGACTTCTCGAAAGCTGCAGCAGGTAGATTCAGGTACGACACTTGCACTACCCAGTATTGTCCACTAAGGGGAGACATTCCCCCATTGTTTTCGAATGCAGCGTTTACAAGCGTCAATTTGGTGCCTCACTACTACTAGCTCAGGACAGGCTCAAAGTGATGAAACAGCGAAGAGACTGCGCTCCTTTCTCAGCTGGTTGGATGCACCATTTCACCACCGGAGGGCACTACAGAGTCTAACCCCAGAGGACAGGGTTCAATTTGAAAGGTCTCAGCAAAGGTCATTGTGAACTGAGGCAAGTCTGCTCTGCACCGAATATTCATTCTTACCCCTGTAATCCTTGTAGAGATTAGGGAAGTACTTCCGTTTTTCACTGAGTAAAGCCTGCCTTACGTAGAGACGTAGAGAGGGTGTAGTTATGTATCATTTGTGAATCCCTGTGGCTAACAGCCGATTGAGGTGTGGCGCTGAAAAAGACAGCAGGCTGTACCTTCTCTCTCATAGCACTGATAGTTCCGGGGTATTCATTTTGGAGCAGGTCACTCTGGGTCGGGTGTGCCCTACATATGGTTACTCTATAGATTCTTAGGGTCACGCCTCTCTAGCAAAAGGAAAAGCATGCGGGATCTTCTGCAGCAGCAGCTATGCGCACTGCGTGCTTGCGTGCTTTGTGCTCATGGTATGATAAACACAGTGTGGCCGCAGCCCTGCATGTCGGAGCTCCTGCGGTATCGTTTGGAAAAAAAAGGAGGAGTGCAAAGCGACGCCAGGAGAGCCAGACAACACGGCCCGTTCCTAAAGTGCAAGGCGACTCCGGCGCTTTTCTTACGGGCTCCGGTTCAGCCCCGCGTCTCTTTGTCTGGAACAGCTGGGGAGGCCGCGGGTGGTCTGTGACTTCTGCCCAGCCGATTGGCTCTGGCTCCGTCCCAGCGCACCCGGGTCTGGGACGCGATTGGACGACGGTGTTCGGAGCTTCAACATCCGATGCGCTTGTCCGGCGCGCACAGCTGTCTCGGCGGCTTGCAGATCCCAAAAGCCGCCACCAGGCGGCGCCAGTTCTCCAAAGCCCAGTCCCGTTATGCCAAAGCTCCGCAGTCGTGTTTTTCGTGTAGGTGGCGCTTTTAAAACGGGCTACGCGGGATCTTTCTGTTGCTTCTGGTAAGCTGATGGAAGCAGCAGTCCCACTTGGCAGTACACATGCCGCAGAAGCAGACACAGTTTCAGATGGCCACCACGCAGCAGACTCAATCCCCTATCCTTCTGCCCCCGGCTACCCCCAGACGCCTCCTTTCACACATCCCACTATGGGCAGAGATTAGCCCCTCCGTCTGGGTCATGTTCAGTTTCAACAACTCTGTTAGTCTCCCAGTTTAAAGCACAAAAAGGGACAGGCTGGCAATGTGCACCAGTCCCTCCAGCCAGATGATGCGTCTGCGTAGTGATCCAGTTCAGCTCTCCTGGGCCCCAGCTCTGCTCCAGGGGTCATTGCTGTCCCCCTGCAAGAGGACCTATTTTCTGGGTCTGGGGTGGGAAGTCCGTGTGTGTGTCTGCGCCTGTTCGCCCCGATGACCGCTGCTGTGAATGTGTGAAACTCTGCCTCAGTCTGATGCTTCCCCCTGTCGTGCAATAAAGGTAAAGACACCTGAATGCACACGGCAGAGACAAACTGCTTCTGAGACACAGCGGCGCTGTCCCCTTGGGGAGTAGTCTGGAGCAGGACCTGGACAGGACAGCGTGTGTGAGGTGGTGTCGGTGGAGAAGATGTGTGATTTGTTCCCTCCGATCACTGTCAGTGAGGGTCCCTGTCCTTCAGGAGCAGACATCAAGCTGAGGACGTGTCTTTGTCTTGGATCTCTAGTGCTGCTCTCTCTTTGATAGACCAGATCCTGCTTAGGATAAGCAGGGCATTAGAAAGTCTTATCTGGGGCTCTACAGTAAGGATCAAGGGGAGTCTCATTAAATCTGTTCCTTATCTGCAATAACAGTCCAAACAGCTTTGTCTCTGACATTCACTGATTCCCAGAATCCTGATCTGTGTCGGGGCTCTGTGTGTGAGCAGTGACCACACTGCCCCCTCTTCCCTGTGGCTCTAGTGGGTCTCCAGGCTACAGCTGGACTCCAGCGGGGATCCAGCAACCTTGTAGTCAGTTTTTTTTTAAAGGCGTGAATCCCCATTGGCAATTTAGTTTGGCCTGTTCAGTTCTATATCGCTTCCTGCAGAAAGTGTCACAACCGCACATAATCAGACACAAGCCCGTAAACGTCAACACATTCCCACAAGCACGGATTCCCTCAAACACCAACGCACAGACTAATTATCATCCCACGTCCCCCGTCCTGCACCACACCCTCCAAATACCTCCAAATATCAAGGGAGGAACTTCAGTGAGGACAGATGGCACAAACCAGGGTGGACACCAGGACTGACACCCCTACTCCTAGCAACAGCCATGGGATCTGTAATGACCAAGTAGTCAGGACTTCAGTATCACCGGTCTCACACAGACATAGGCAGGTGACATGGTCCCTCAGACAAACGTTTCTCACACTGGAGATAACAGAGGGCAGCCTGGCCTGCGAGGACTAATGACTTCAAGACTCTGCTCTGCGTGTGCAGGTCTGCGGGGCTCCTCGCGCAGGCAGTAACGCAGACCTCCACAGCGACAAGACAGGAGAGCCAGCATCACCGGACGAAGTTTAAATCCGCAAGTCAGAGAGCACGACCTTCCACAGTCTAGCGGTGGTCTTTGCACTCCTCTCTGCCTCTTGATTGCTCGTTAATCACCGGCGAGCTGGTAGTCAGCCCGGCCGCGCAGTTTCAGGGGCGTCGCGTCTGCTGGCTGTGTGAGGGGTCGATACCAGACGCTTCAATCACCAGGCAGCCCTGACAGACGGGGGGCCTGCGTTAAGGGTCCTGAAGACGAGGGGTGGCGGAGGAGCAGTGATGTGCGAGGCAGGACTGAGCGCCTGTCAGACGGAAGGAAAGACCAGTGCTACCCTCCGGCCTGCAGCGGGGGTCCTGTCCCGTTCTGGCAGGGCTGTGCTGAAGCTCTCTAACCGGGGAAATGTTGCAGCGCTTGCTAATGGCTCTGCCATCGACTGGGGCTGGGATGGGGGCCGGCGGGGGGGGGAGAGGGTGGGATGTATGTCCTTCTCTCTCCCCGGCTCTGCGGGGAGAGAGGATTAATTCGTTTTGTTTCTTTTTTGGGGTTTTGTTTTCTGGTGTGGGGGACTGGGAGCACTGTAAATAGACTGCACTTGATTTGCTCGGGTGCTTTTGCGGCGGAGCCAGTCTGGTATAAAACGGACCTACTTTGGCCTTGCTCAGGCCATTGTGTGACACCCTGCCCTCCCACTGTTGCGCTTTGAAAGCATCTCAACAAACAAGTCATGCATTTCAAAGCACAAGTCCCTTACCAATATAAATATATAACACTATACCTGTAGATCAATATATCTCAATATGCAAGTATGCAGTGCATTTTTTCTGGTGAATAAAAGAGCAAAATGTAGGCTGTCTGAAGGGAGGCTGAAATGGCACCAGACTTGTGCCTCTTCATCAATGGCCTTTGATCCCTTTTCACAGACAGATCAGTGAAGGGTCTCCAGCTCGGGGGCTGTCGGTCTTAAAGGCTGACCTTTGGCAACACCTGCCTGTTATTGATCAACTACACCAGCGACATGTTTGATTCAAGGAGCTCGGCTCCCTGCGGGGCGACAGGTGTTCGGACTCCTGTTCTGAAACGTCCCAGACCCACTCATGTGAATCAGGTGGCCTGCTCTGCGGACCGCACTCCCCCCTGCGAGAGCCCCCTGCCCGGAGCGAGGCTCTCTGGGAGCGGGGCTGGAGAGGAGCCGCCAACGCGCACTCTCATCTCCCCGTCGGGCCGGCTGACGCCTCGGATCACCTCCGATTTGCTCCCACGCCTGGGGACGGAGTCCGAAGGGATGGAAAGATATCCTGACACCGCGGCGGGCGACCACACGTCAGGTTCCTGCTCCGACCTTTGAAACACAGGCTCAGGGCTGGGCGATGGGTTTTCGGCGGTTTTCTGCAACTTTGGCTGCAAACAACCCCGGAACTGAGTGTGTTGATTAACGGGGAACTGCAGGCCCAATTTCTCAAACTTGTTATTAAATCGCAGCAACGAAATAAATTCATTGACAGCATAGAAAAATCCTACAGATTTCAGATTGAGCACAAAATCGTGAGATTTGTGAAAGCACAGTAAGTTGCCATGTTGTCACCAAAACACTGGTCTTGTGATGGGCGAGAGTGAGAGTTCCCACGAATCGCGACGTGATGCAGCCCTTCCTGCTCACTAGTCTCTGTCATGATTGATGCAGTGTGATGGACGAGGGAACAAGTCCAGGTTGTGCAGCAGACATTTCACCACAGAAATGTTTCAACGTGATCTGCAGGCAGGGTTATCAAGTGTGTTGTATTTGTTGGCAAAACTGTCTTGGAATCAAAAGCAATATTCCTATTGGATTAAAAGGGCTGTATTCACAGGGCCCATTCACGTCTCTACAGACGTTTTATGGCCTCGTTCTGAATTGCAGAAAATGGCGCTGCACATCCCTGGAAATTGAGTCTAATTTTGTGATGTAAATGGGAAGTTTTACACGTTACTGTGCACATTTGACTTTTTTTGTATTTTGAAATGCACACAGCAACGCAGATTCTTTCCAAGACAAGGCTGCTTCAGACAGCCACAGGGAATTACAACAACAGCACAGTGAAGCAGGCTTTCACCCAAGAGGAGTGAGAGACAAAACATTGTCAATTCCCCTGGATTTTGTTTTGCAGGAATGGCTTCCTGGCAGTTAGATTGAAAACAGTGAGGGGAAAAAGAGGCGAAGCTGAAAGACTCGATAGAGAAATTTACAGAAAAAAACACAAACAAATGCCATTTGTTATTGCTGCTATTAACATTGTACAATATTCTACACTGAGCTCATTTCGACACAGTTAAGGCACATTCTGAAAGCAAGCTTGCCTGGGGGGGGTCCTAACGTCTCACCATCGCTGATGTGAAAAGGGTCATGTAGTTCTAACTAGGGCTGGGCTCCCTGGTCTCAACGATGTACATCTCCATTTTTCACCCTGATCCATGACATTATTAATTTCTTGGGCAACATCAATGCAACAGGCACCAAAAACAGATAAAAAAAAAAAACCTCATAGATCAGTTTAATCGCGTGATGAAAAGGGGGCGAAGAATTTAACGATACCAGAAAATAGCGTGAGACATATTTAATTTGTGTTAACATAGTCAGTATTCTGTATTTGATGTTCTTATTTAGGTTCATTTTTACTGAGTTAATCTGTTCAGCGTGAGAGAAGTTTTATGTGATCTCTGACCCCGGGGAGGGTGTGACGTGGACAGTTGAGGAGAGAACGGACGCTCACGCCGTGTCCGTTATTCTTCTGGTCTTTTCCTTATTTTGGATCCCAATAAGAGTTTGATAATCAGCCGGTGCAAGCTCTGTTTTCCTTTGAATATGAATGCCCCCAAACCCTAAACCGAACCCCCGATTTTACAACAGTGACCGGTCGCCATGGCTCCGGTGCGCCGCGTGGCCGCCTTACCGGACGCATGACGTCAGAGCCATCGCTCGGGGCCCTTCTTCAGAAGCCGCCGTCGCCGCCTGAGGGGCGGGATGTTGGGACGCTGTAAGGCACCTAATCCCTTAAATTATTATAAATTCAGTTGTTTCTCGGCGATTCAACTCGGGGCACATGACTGAAACTAGAGAGGTGAAAGTGTCCGTTAGGAAAATGTGAAGACATGAAGTGTTCGCGCGCAGCTCTCGTCTTTCTTTCACCCCGACGATTTTCTTCCCCGTTTTATCCCTTTTTGTTCCCATGTTCGGGTCTTTGGCTTAAAAAACTTAATGTTTGTGTATTCATAACCCTTTTACAAGAAGTGACTAATAGAATTAGTGAGCGAGGTCGGGTGTGAAGCCATTTGTCTGTCGGTGCCGCCGGTAGCGCCCCAGGTCATATTAATCGTTATCATTCATGCTGAATCTCATAAACTTGAATTGGTCTTAAATTAATATCGCCTTCTGAGAATATACGTCTTTAAAATGTGTGAATACCTATTTATGAAAACACAGAGATTGCTTTCCCAGCAGGAACTGGACATTAAGGTGTTCTTCACATGAGTTTGGTACGCGGCTCTGCAAGAACACAGGGTTTTAGCCACGATTGATCACAGCTGAAAGGTTTATTTCAAGGATGATTTGAGACTGAATCTTCACTTTTTTGATTCCCTAATATCTCAGGCGTATTAATATTCCCCGTTCTTAATAAAATTTCCTTGCAAACGCTGTAGCTGCGGGGATTTTTTTAATGCAGGTATTGCAGTGCTGTTCTCGCAAACAAATGTAGTAATTTCTTCCAGTCTTCTTTTTTTTTAAAAGAAAAAGTTACGCCAAGTCAGGAGAATGTGCAGACCGAGTCATGTGATCAGCTCTGTCTGGGAGGAGGCGTCCCGGAAGCTGCGATCAGGTAATCACCTGCTGAGATGCGAGAGGTGACCGCAGGTGTGAGTGTTAAACCACCATTTCTGAGCGTTTGAGAGATCTGGGCATCGGTTTTGTTTTATAAGCCATTTGGGACAAAGTCAGATGGTCGCTGTTTCACACGTCCGGAATCAGGTTGGGCAACTTGCTTTTTAGTAGTTTAAGACTTGACTTGGAGCGGTGTGCGCGTTTCTGCGTGCTGGGTGGGGAGTGGAATTGCTGTATTGCCTCGTATACATCGTCACTACTTTAAAATAAAGTGATTTTAGCAAAAAAAATATTCATTTTTGAGTTCTGACTATTCACTGAATCAAAGGATTGGCTGCATTCGCCGATGAAACCTGGTTGAGTTGCCAGTGTTGACGTCTGCTGATCTATTTTGCAATCCAATTAGTGTTTAATAGATCTGCGGTGTGGATACCCGGTGTTGAAACGGGGCACTTCTCAAGGTATTCTGCCTGTTGGGTTACGTGCTGAAGTCCTTTTTCTGACCTTTTCAGATATTTACCACGATGGTAACGGCTGGCTTGATGTCAACCCTGAACCTTCATGAGATGTTGGTAAGTTCCAGGATTCTAGGTTCCAGTTTTGTAACCCAGTGAAAGAAAACCTGTAAAGTCATCCCGAATTTCTTGTTAAGAGTTGTGCACAGGTGTGGTTATTCCCTGTTTCGGCTGATCAGCAGGTGTTAGTCTGCCATATGTTCCCACCTTACAGTAACACAGAGCTCCTGGTTAAACTAGTGTGGTTGAAACATTTCCTCCTGAAAATGCAGATTCACAAGAAACAGAGATTTGTCTTTAGCACATTTAAAGTAAAATAGATGCAGTTACTGGGAAACTTTTAGTGAATCGTGTGTTCCAGAATTTTGAAAGACTGACAGTGTCTGAGAAGGAAAAAGGTTAAGATCAAGAGACTCTTACATCGGACTCCCAACCATTAGGAGGATGTTCAGTGGTCTTGACATATGTATTGGTGAAATTCATCCACTAAGTAGCAACAAGTGCAAAATATTCAGTGTTTCTGATGTGTGCAAGAAATTTAATCATAGTAGGCAGTAACATTGTACTCCAGTTCAATGTTCTCTGGAATTAAGGAGATTAATTGTTGAATTAATGCTTGTTTAAGATTTTAATGTAATCTGCCATGGTGTCTGCAGCACTGCCAGTGAACCCAGTGACAGCAGTGACAGTGACCTTGCAGTCTTGACTGTGTGTTTGAGACTGAATGGTGAAAAGAAAGAACAGAATGGTCTTCTGTCTGTCCAGGAGGAGGCACTAGTGGTCCATTTTGGGTGCAAAAAAGCACAGCAGAGCAAGCTAGGTGTTCAGCCCCTCAAGACCTGCATATTGGCCTCTTCCACAGGGGAGTCTTGTGAGGCCCAGAGAAAAGGTAACTTTGTCTTTTTACATCATTTAAGTCAGTAAGGTACCCTACGAAGGCTAAAACAAAGCACCCAGTTGCATCTTTTCTTTGGTTTGTGCTGAGCAGAAACAATAGACTTTTAACTGCTGCTTCGTATGTTAAAACAGCAGATTCTGTTCTAATTTAAAATGGAATTGGTATTACTTTCCCAGGCTAACAGAAGAGATTCTTAATGTCTACAGTACGTACTGTATAAGAATTTTTGTGAAGCCGGTGTATAATTACTGACTTTGCGAACACCCCTAGTCCAGTGGTTGGCTAAATCAGATCAGTTGACAACTTTATCGGCAAGAGTCAACAAATGACAGAAATGTCCAATTGTGGTCTTAAGCTGTTATTTTTTTTTAAATTTGTGACATGCATAGTGTGCTATTAATAATCTACTATGTATAAAATGGTGCTGTCTCTGTCAAAATTAAGACCCCGTACAAATTGTTCCATTTGTAGGGAGAAATTGGTGCTTAATAATGAAACTGGAATGGCAAAGCCAAGTGGAGATCTCTTTGTGTCCTGACTGTAGAGTTAAAAGCCTGTCCATAATCTGTCTCTGAGGGTCAGCTTGGAGATCCTGTAATTGGGGTAATTGATTGATTATGGTGACAGTGGAGGAAAAGCAGTTTTAGTTAAGCAGCTCAGAACAGATTTTTGGACCTCTTGTGGCATTTGCAGATGCATTTCCAGATTTATTTCCTGCTGTTTGCTCCAGATAGTTATCCTCCTAAACCAATTAGAAGAAAATTGCTGTCTGCTTGTCTCAATGCAGTGTTTTTCTGCTTGTTTTTTAATTTTCAGTAGTGTGAAACGTGAGGCCAGGACAGAGCTCTGGCCTCATGTCTCTGGCTCCCAGCTGGTAATGAAAGCCTGATGCAAGAGGTCAAAGGTGTCTCTGTCTGGTCAGGGGTCACCACTCAGTGACTTTGATCAATGGCTGTTTTTTTTCCCCTGTCTGGTCGGCTGCAGAAGGGAATTTATTTGACTCCCCTACAGGTGCACGAACCGGAGCTGGGGGTAGGGAAGGAATCCAAGCACAGACAAAGAGTGCAGAGCAGCAGAGATGTCTTTGAGTACACTTGACTCTTTAATGTACCTGCTGTATGTAAGAGCTGCGCCAGCTGGTGCTGGTTGTTTCTCATACAGATGGTCACAACCCTTCCTTCACTGTTTCAGCTCTACCTCTGCTCCTCCGTCATGTGTAGACGTTGCGGTTTGCTACAAAGTCTGTTGAAATTTTAGTGAAGTGGAGGGGCGTTGGGGGGGGTGGGTTCGTGCTGTGAGTGATGAGAGAAATTATTTAGAACTGATTTTTTTGTAATTTTCCATTTTCACATCGGGACAAATTCTAATAGTCGGAAAATGTGACATTGCATGTCAGCAGATCTGTCTGGTTAACTGTCGTTGTACAGATATTGATGTATAGTAGCTTTAATTTATGTCTCTAGCCTTTGTGCCTTTCACCAATAATTCACATTTCTTTTGTCCTTTTGTCAGAATTCCTCTATCAGTGTTTACTCCCTAAAGTCTTACAGCTTTAGAGTAAGCTAATAAAGCTACAAGCTACTCATAATTTACTTATCTAGATTTTGTTTCTGTAACTTAGTCATACCCTCTTGCACATCTTCAACTGAGTTTCTGAGGTGTACTTATTTAAAAATGTTTGCTTAGCTTCTTTTTGCTTTGTGGACAGGTACTTGGGCGTCCACAATTCATAAAATTAGTTAACAGAGCTTTTATTGAAAATATATTAAGCAACTATAATGCTATGAATCCATAAATATAATGTGTTATGGGGAAAGAGATTTTGTCATTCAGTGATAATACACAGATGTTTTGTGTGAATGATGATTCTGCATCATATAAATGAGTTGATGTTCTTCTCAGGAATTTCTGTTAATGGCACCTGGTTTGTATTTAATTGGGAAGATCAAGTTAATTAAGTGTGCATTTGGCCTTTTTTTTTCTTCCTGCAGTACAAGTCTGAGGCATTAGGAGGATGTTCAGTGGTCCTCCATAAATGGAAAAGCTTTGTACCAGTGTCAGGAGTCACTGTGTGGACAATGCAGGAGGCCTCTCAAGGATACATTGTTTATAAAGGAAGCTCTTCTGGCGTGGGGAAAGATAGCTGGCCAGCCTTCACTGGGCCTTTGAGAGGACATGTGACGTTACAGATTTTCGCGACCTCATTGCTTTGGGGCTCTGCTCCAGTCGTTTGCTGTGGTGAACCTGCTCTCTGTTGCCAGCCCCTCCTCCACCCCTCCATGTTCCTGCTCTTTTCTTCTCGGCCATCGCTGCTCTGCCTTTCTCTCAACAAGTGCTCTTTTGTTCTCCTGTTTTCCCATGACCTTTGACTTCTAGGACAGGCCTGGTGTCTGTCTGGAGTTAAGATCCCCCCACCCCTCACTTTATACACACACATGGGTGTCTGCACACACCTATCTCTTTGTGCTTAACCTGTGACCTCTGATCACTTCAGACTTATTTTGGCAATTTTGTTAGGTAAAGGGGGAACATCTAATGTATTTTCTGTTGTGATTTAATATGAATCTGTGTCTTAGGCAGCAAATGTGCTTCAGATTTTTTTTAAAACGTTTTATCTGGAGCACATTTGAAGCCTACGATACCAACACGTCATGATTCCTATGATGTATGAGTGTCTTCTTTAGATGCAGTTACAGTAATCCATTCAAACTTCATATCTACACAGCACATTGGTAACCAACAGCCGAAAAGTTTTTTAAAGATTTATACAGATGTTGCAAGCAAATGTGCGAAGTAATGACAGATCCTTCTTTCCTATATCATGTTGTTGGTTGGGTTGTGAGAATGAACACCCAGACAACCTTTAGCCTCTGACACATCTGCATTTGAAAGAGAGTTCTCCCAGTCTCAGCCTGCGCTCTGGAGAGAGCAAGACCAACCCAGTAAGGTTTGTTAGTTTCTTTTTTCTGTTTTCTTCCTTAAAGCAGATGTGATGGAAGTTGGTGGTTCATGTGAGGTGTCATTTGTAGTCCATTCTCCGTTGTCACAGTACTTTTTTTTTAGAAGAGGCACTGGACGAGTGTGTCTGGTGTTCTTCTGACGGCAAGACTCGTCCTGCAGAATTAGAACAGCTGCACTAAAAATCAACTTGACTTTTTGGTATTTGCATCCTGTTCTGTACTTGCATATTAAATAAATGTGCATTTTTATAGTCACTTCTGTATTTGCTTCTAAAGTAGAGTTACGTTTTTAAAGTTTCTGCTCATTCATGGTTCTGTTGTAAGAATGGCCTTTCGAGCTGATTTTTGCAAAAATGAAAATTGCTTTGGATAAAAACAGTGGCCTAATTAGTAGTAACGTTTTGTACAAGCAGTTGAGGACAGAGCTGGTCTTGCTTTTCAGGAGACGGGATGTTTCAAGAGGCAGTGGGTGTTGAAGGAGACTTCATAATCAAGGAAGGTTTTTCAACTCTGGACTGCAGTACTTCAGTCTTTTCTGGTGTTCATTGCAGTTGGGCTCTTGATTTCCTGCACAATTTTAGGATCTGAAGATGAAAAAGTCTGATTAATCTGGATTTAAGTCGAATTGGTGTAGTGAAGTATTTGGTCAGATTATGTTGTGATTGTGATATTTACACTGTTTTTTGCTGTATAGCTAGCTTTGTTGAAGGATATTGTGAAATGCTACAGTACCAATAGTGTTGCATTCATATCTTGTGTACAGAATGAAAGAATGAAATGCAGAAGAACTGTGGTTCCCCAGGAGATTGCTTGGTTTTTCAGGGCCCCCCAGTATAGGACACTCTGAAGTTAGATGAAAGCAAATTATCCAGAAACAGCAAAAAAAAGAATATTTCTCTTTCTTTATTGCCTCTGTCAGGCAGACTTTCTGTGGGAATTAAAACAGTGAATTTTATTTAAAAAGTAAACACAGGAGGTCTTTTTTGATAATGTTACCTGGCATCACACTGCCAAACAAGTTTGCGCCACACCAGGATTTGGAAAGAGCCAGTCAAGACCTGGAAGGTCAAGGCAGAGCCCTCCATTACAGACACTGATGTCTAGCTGCAGCAGTCCTGACAGCTGTACCAGAGGCCCCCGATAGAGAAGTGGTACAGTAGGTGCCAGGAACACATTAACTGAGATGAGCAACAAGGACTGCAAGCTAACAACAGTCTCCTTTGTGCACCATGTCATCCTGACCAGGGCTGAACCCATTGGTGGCTGTTCCTGTTAGAGAACTGGTTAATGGATAGCAAACAGAGTACAGATAAGGGGTAAATGCTTTAAAATGGGGTGATGTAATTAGTGAGTACCACAGGGACCGCTGTTCTTAATTGATATAAATGATGTGGGTTCTAATGGGTGGCACAGTGGCCCAGTGGTTAGCTTTGCTGCCTTGCAGTATTACTGGCGCCCTGAGTTCAATTCCAGCCCTGAATCGCTATCTGCGAGGATTTGTATGTTTTCTGTTCTTGTGGGTTTTGACCAGGTACTTCGGTTTTCTCCCACAGTCCAAAGACATTCTAGTCGATTAATTGGCTTCTAGTAAAACTGGTCCCGGTGTGAGTGTGTCTGTGTCTTTGTGTGCCATGGTGACGGGTGTATTCTGCCTTGTGCCTGGTGCTTAACGAGATGTGGCTCCTTTGTGACCCAATGTGGATGAAGTGGTTAAAAAATGGATGGATGGATGAATGGAACTTGGCTCTGGTGTACTAAGTAAGAAATCGCTTTGTCAGATAATACTCAAAGAGGAGGGCTGGCAAATCTGAAGAAGCAGTAAAGAAAATTCAAAACTATTTAGGCAGAATAGCCAAACTATATTGGACATGCATGTAGCCTAAACATATACTGTAGATATGAGATGGGGAAACAACTGAACTTGAAGAAGCTGTCTGTTGAAAAATTAAACAAGAGGGAAGCTGTGCTAGGAGATGAGGTAAAATTGCTCTAGTAAGACCCCATTTAGAATGTTGTGTACAATTTTGGCAACCATATAATCTACAAAAAGTATATTGCCCTCAAATCAGTCCAGAGAACAGCGACCAGATACGTTCTTAAATTTAAAGTAATCTTTTGTTCTGAGAGCTTGAACTGAACCTTTTTAATCTTGAACAGAGAATACTACAAGGGGACCTGACTCCAGTATTCAGAATATCCAGGGCGTTGAGAACGACACCCCAGCAGACATTGGAGTCAGCAGTGAAACGTGAACAAGAGCACACAGTGAAACTACAGAAAGAACATTTAAAACTTAGGATGGGAGGCGCTTCTTTACACAAAGGGTTGTGAGAATAAGGAATGAGCTTATACTCGACTTCATTCGAGAAACCGCTGTATGGGATCTTTGGATCAGTTCACTACTAGCAGCTAAATGAGCCAGGCTGCCCGACTTGTCTCTGGTAATTGATCTTGTGTTCTTGAAATGACAAAATAGTATTACTGCCTCACCCGAATGACTTCACCTGCCTCAGCTTGTCGTGGGGTAAAGTTTTTCTGGATGTTACATGTCATTATTTTTTTGCTTATTTAAAAAATAAAGGAATCCCAAATTATATAGAGTACAAAAATACTATTTTACATCTGTTCTAATAACGAAAAGAAAAACATTAAACCACGCCATTGCAGGCGTGCCAGGCCTAGGAAATCCTTGTTATTTAAAATAAAATACATTTCTGTATGTCCTCTATATGTACGTTTGCTGAGCAGCTTGTAGGGAAGGAACCAGTAAAAATGTATTCCATGCAAAAGAGAAGAGAAGAAAAGAAACGCAACGTTTCGGCTGTGGAGCCTTCTCCGTGTGTATTTTAGGGTAGCTTGTATGGAAGTTGCTTCATAAACATCAGTGAGAAGGAGTACAGAACCCGGTGTTTTTTTCATGACTACTGGACAAAGTGAAGAGCTCCTGTGCAGGAAGTGTGAGTTGCACCAGTGGAAGCCATCCTCTAGCCTTATTTTCAGATGCACACAGACAGGGCAGCCGTCTGTATTTTTCTGAGAGCGTGCACGTGCAGGAGTGGCGTGCCTGTCTTCCTGCACGGAGAGGAGCCGGGATTTTCCTCTGGATTTCTCGCCGGTTCCCTTTAGCCGGAGCCGCCGCCGCCTCTGCCTCTCAGGCGCGCTGTCCCGCACGGCGGCTGTTTGTCAGCCAGCTCGCTACGCCGCGGGCGTGTGCCTCGCTCAGCACACCCAGCGCAGGCCAGCTAGCCGCGGGGACAAGGGGAGAAAAAGAGGGAAAGGAGAGTGCGGCGTGGAGTGGTGCCGGAGAGGCAGGAGGTGAGCAACTGACATGGCTAGTGCAGGCAGATCGGAGAGACATGAGCCCACTTCGCACCCCCATTGGCCGATCCGACTGAATCAGCACAAGTACAAGTAAGTTATTTATTCTGGGGGGGGAGCGAAAGCGTAACGGAACGAAAGCAAATTGAGCAGGACAATAGGGCAGTGGAGTTGTGACTGTACATTGTGACTCAGGAGAAGGGAAAGCGAGAGGGAGAGGAGGGTGTAGGAATCTCAGACAGGTTCCTCCTTTTAACTGCAGCACTTAATTACAGTACGTGCAAATCGAGCGATTTAATGTGTTACCATCAAAGACAGGCCCAGCTGTAAGTATTGCTGTATTTTCTACATTTTTCATTCCTTTTTTGTTATTCTCTTTTTATTTCCAACACCAAGAGATGAGATTTCACGAAAGGCTGAGATCATCAACCCCAAAGATCTGTTACCAGAGGCCAGCGATTTGGGTCTTTCATTGTGTATTGCATTTTTTTTATGTTTTCTCCTTTGTCTGTGGCTGGTACAGGAATTCCCATCCCTTACTGGGCGGCTACGTCACCCTTGTCTGTTTTTTCTTCCTCCACTTCCAGAAATACACGGCTTGTTTGAAAGGCTTTGGATCTTTTCAGACATCGATGAGGTTTTGTGTAGATTCCCCCCCCCCTTTTTTCGTTCTCGTCATTAACCCTCTTCACAAAAGCAAACCTGAATAGCATACAGAAAATTTGCATGGCAAGTATTAAACACAAGCCTTTCACAGCATGTTTTCTCACCGGGGACCGCCTCGGATTTGTGTAGGCAGCCCGGAGGGGAAAAAGACGGGGTGGGGGGTGGTTTGAGGGGGTGCGGCTGAGCAAATGTTCCCGAAAAGCTCTGGCAAACTTCTGAGGAAACTTCATGCTTTTATCAGCTTTGTCTTCCAGTTGTGTTGCAGGCCACACATTCTAATAGCAAAAGTGTTAAGGCTATAGAATTTTTAAAAAATGTTTTGTAGTCAGGAGATATATCTAAGGGAAGCAGGGGCATATTGAAGCAAAGAAGAAAAAAAAAGTTTTCAGGAGAAACAAGGGAGGTGGAGACAGAAAAGTGTGTGGGAGAGAGAGAGATGGGTAGAAATGTAGGTGTCCAGTGGCTGAGATGCATCTGCCGCACACGTTTCCCTCCGATTGCAAGCGCTCCTTTTCTCACTGCAGTCACTGGTGCTATTGTATTAAAGCTAATGGCTTGTTAAGCTGCTACTGTAATTAGACTGGGATGTTTAACAAATCATATGCAGATCTTTTTCCTCCCTTTCTCTCCTTATTTTCCTGAGCAGAGAAGTGAGAGAGGAGGAGTGCGCGGCTGGGGATGTTGCTGTAAGAAGCTCCTGTGAATCTGTAAGACAGGAGACACTTTAATGGTGCAGCTTTCTATACACGCATATTGAATACACTCGTGCAAACCCATTGTGGCTTCTTTTGTCTGACTGAACCACAAATTGCCCAGCAGCGTTGAACCATGCTGTGCCGTTTCATTTTCTGCTCTTCGAACAGTGTTATGTGCTTTATTATTGTGCTTTAATGTTTTAAATCACCTTCTTAAATGTGGTTGAATATAAATTACCCCTGTTACGATATACACAATTGGCAATTAAAGCAACATTTTGCATTAAAAAGACTGGGATTGTTGCGTGAAGTTCTTGTAACTGGTTTTTATTTTTACCAGATTTCAACCTTTTTATGTTTCTCTTGATGATGCACAATGGTTTTTGTCTTGGTAGCAATTGTAATTCAGTTCAGCTTATTTGTAATAAGTAGTTAAACTCTGTGGCAAAAGCAGGTGTAGTGCAGGAAGTATTGAAAGGAGCCGTAGCAGTTGTACAGTAGGAGTAACTGTAGATGTCATGTTCCTCTGAACTTTCTCATTTCAGACTCTAAACTCCAAATAGTCTTAATCTCACCTTTTCTGACCTCTGCCAGTCCCTCACTTGCATGTCTCGACTTTTTTGCACCCCTGTTCTCACTCAGACCTCGTCTCTCACAGACATACTGCCTCTCTGCTTCCCCCTTCCTGTCACACAGGTTGTGTTTCTCTCAGACTAATCCTTGTGCTCTTGGCTCTCAGCCAGTGTGCGGCTTCCCTGATGAAGAGTTGCCTTTTGTAATAAAAGCGCTTGCTAATTCACCTTATCCCTCCCTCCCTCCCTCCCTCTCTCCTCATGGCCAGAGCCAGAGGATCACCATCTCTCTCCCTCTCTCTCTGCCTTTTTATCTATCATTCCTCCTCCCTCCCAGTCAGGGAAAAGAGGCTAGTCTAATATAGCTTCCATGAATGGTTTTAATCTTTAGATGTGTCTTTGGTGTGCTTGGCCATCATGTTTTCAGCCTAAGTACTTATGTCTGGGCGCTCAAAAGTGCCCAAATGAACACCCTCCAAGCCATTCTGCAGTTCCTTCAGCTTATATGGTTAATGTGCTCTGTTGTTTCAACCTCTGTGCTTGTGTGTTTTTTTTTCTCTTTTTTACAAGCAATGTGTAGCTGTAAACACATTTTGCAGCAATGTGTAGGCTGAGGATAATGAATTGCTTGCATTTTACCATTGCGGCTGACTGCTCTGTGTGCACAATAAGAATGATTGTTGGTTTAAGAATGCATTATTGGTCAATGGTTACTTATTTTCAGCTTCTTCACAGCACATTTTGTTATGTGATCCTGGTGCTCCCTGTTGGCATGCTGTGTTTGTCCCTGTTGTTGCCCTACAGCATTTATGCAATGCCTTTAGTCCTATGACATTGTCATAGTACAGTCATGATTACTTCAATGTTGCTCTGTAGCAATGGATATCTTTTTGTGAACTATTTGTACATTTTCTTTCGTCTTTTAGAAAGTCAAATTTCAGCACTGTCCTCATTCAGGTTTGCTGCTTGAAATGCAACCAGTTGTACCTCTGCAGAAAGAAAAATGCATATTGAGGGAATGTCTGATAGTTCATTTCTCACCTGGGTCTGTTTATTATTTATTCATAGACTAGTAAGCTAGATAGTTAACCAAAACTATCGGGAAACAAGGATGTACACCAAGTTCTGTGGGCTGTTGTTGGAAACAGCTCACGTACAAGAGGGTATTTTTCCACTCTCAAGAATAATTGAACAAGTTAGATAAAAGTTCAAACAAGCAAGCAGATCAATTATGTAATTAGTTAGCAGTGGAGATTTGAAACTCAGCTGCAAGTAAAATGAGCAGTGACAGTGTTCCTCCAGAAACAGGGTTAGGAAGTGCTGCCCTAAAGCATTGCTGCATTCCCTTTGGTCCTGTGGTGTTGTCATAGTACAGTCATCATGTCTTCCTTGTTTCCCTACAGCACTGCTGGGATGCTTTAAGCTGGGTGAATCTAGGGCACCTCCCCTGTGGCTAGCGTTTCACATTGCTTCCATGTGATTTTACTTTAGATGAACTAAAATTGAACTAAGAAGGATAGGATTTGAAGGTCCTGGCATTAAGAGCATGTTACAGACATTACATCTGTGCTGAATGCAGATAGCATCCTCCCTGTATTCAGTTGGAGAGAATTTTGTCTGCCCTGGGATGAACTCCAGACCAGATGCATAATGAGGCTCTTTAGTGCATTTTCCTGCATGTCAGGGGTGGGGAAAAATGCTTTGATTCTAATAAGCTTTGATGTTGCTAAAATTACAGAAGAGAAAAATGTTTATATCCATTGATCTGAATTTACAAGAAAACAAAAAGAAAGTTAAATTCATCGACCTGTAAGTATGGACAGTCAAGAGTAAAAAATGTACCCTTGATTATTTAAAATTGAATTTATATTTTAAGCATTAATAGAGCAATATATATGTAATAATACCCACGATCTGATGTAGATTAGTAGTTTGTTAGTAACAAAACCTTAATCCTGACCACAGCCTGAAGTACAATCCTAGACCTATAGTAATTGTTCCATCTGTAATGCTTTAACTGCTGACATATTATCCATTTATAAAGGGGACTTTTGCACATTTATACACTAAAGTGTGGCTGAAATTTGTTGGTAATGAGAGATTGGCATTCAGAAATGTTGTACACTCTGTAGACAGACATTATTCTCTGCATTTTAAGGAATTTTCTTTAATGAACCAGGTGCATTTTAAACATTCTCCATGTGCTTTTCTGTGACCTCTAGATGTGCTTGCAGTCAG